CGAGACAACTTACGGATACTTGCGAAATCCGATTTTAAGGATCTCCAGACTGGGAGAATCGAGAGATGACAGTATGCTTATGGTTAATAATTTATAAAACAAAGTTAAACAGCATAAATAGGTTTCATAAGATTTTTTACTTGAAAAGGTAATGAAAGTAGATACAAGCGATATCTAACCTTTCGGATCCAACCGATGAAATCCGCACATACCAGGGCACTGCGACTTCTCCTTCGTAACAACGTTGTTCCTCGCATCCTCTAAGTGAAAATAAAGCAATCTTTTATTAATAGGTTGAAGAACATAGCAAGCACAACCTAGGGACCTTAGTGCTTGAAGCTCCAGAAGGCATGCATGGACTAAAACACGAAACAAACGAGACAAACGAATGAGCATGCACGCATTCTGGTGCCTTGTACCTGAATATGGGCTGTCAGCGACAAAAAATAGCTCAACAGGTCTATGAATAGCTTGCAATTTATCTTGAGGAGCAAGTGATGCAGAGTAATCCGTTACTAAGCTCTGTGGGTTACGAGGATTTGAATCATTAAAATATCTATCACCCCCGCCTATATTAAATATTTCGTCCATATCTGTGACAGGTTCTTGCTCAAATACATGGTATGGTTTGGGATTAAGCAAAACAAGATCTTCATTTTGATCAATCGTCTCGATGTCATCTTTTGCTTTGCCAAAGACATCTAAGCAAGAACAAATGGTAGCTCAATACCATAAGAAAATGTAAAGGATAAAGAATCAAATTAAACATACCAGTTGAATCCTGGGGTTTTGAACGATCCATTCAGAAGAATCCAGTAATTTAAATGATAGAGGGTTGTGAAATCAGCAAAGGAAATTCCTAACGTATTAGGTCAAGCCTAAGTTAGCTGGAAGATGGAAAAGTGAAAACAAGGGGAGCCGAGATGGAGGAGCCGGGCTTGGGTAATAGACCAAATAGTACGCGCAAAGAGTTATGGGTATCAGAGTTAAGAAAAAGTCAAGAAAACTTTCATTAGCAAAATAAAAAGTAATTAAGGTGTATAATGCAGGTGTAGTATTGATGTAATTTAGTTATACTCTTATGAATAGCTTGAAATATTTTGATTTTTAAATTTATGAATATGCTAATTAAAACAAATAATTAATGTAATTCAGATACGCTTAGTAAAATTACAAAATAGAAACTTACATGAGTTATTCCCTCTAGAAGTGTCTAGTGATATTAAAATCTATTATATTATGTCGAATCGATTGCTCGACGACTTTATATGTACCATAGCAAGAATG